TGCACCAGAAGCGTGGTCACAAAAGATAGTACCCCCTGAGTACTGATTCTTCTTCTTTTCTTTTCCTTTGGTGTGTGGTAACCTACCAGGTACGTAAGAAACGTAGCTATCGATGGAAACTTTGGCACCCGGTGTCAGGTCTCCCTCTCGAATAGCCATCTCCCGATCATCAAAGGCATGTTGTGATTCAGGAGTTCGTCGCGCTTGCTTGCCAAGTTCACAAGCGGCACAGAGAATGGTCCGTTGTGAGTTACTTGCTCCTTTATGGCGACATGGTGAGATTGCGTCTTGAGTCGGATCGTTAGGTTGTGCTAGGAGACGCTGAATCCATTTGAAGTGAGCATGCCCAAGCTTGGCATGATAAAGCAGCATCTCTTTCTCACCAGCGGTAAGATTTTGATTGTTTTCAGCTCCAACGGACAACATTCCTAACACATCTTGTTCTTCACAGAGCATGTTGGCTTCTTCAAAGCCTAGTCCAGCGCAATGGGCACTCGCGTCCAACATCATTGGAATATTGTTTGACTGGAATGGAAACTCAAGTTCCGATTCGTCAGCGAGCGTGAGGACAACTTTGCGGTGGTTCAAGAAAAGGGAACCGGCTCCCTTTGTCTCTTGGAAGTAGCATTGTGGAGAGAACAATCGAATCTGTGCTGATGGAACCAGGTAAGCCGTAGTTCTGATCCGTCGCACCGATCCATAGACATCTCTGACAGTCCATTCAACTGTTCCACTTCCCACAACCTCACACGATCCTTGGAGGCCATTTATAGATTTGAGTTGGCTAGGGCGGACTTTAGAGATGAAATCTGACTTATGAGGTGTAATTGAGACAGATGCTCCGGTATCGATGACCATCGGAGTCTTAGAGTTGTCAGAGAGGTAGACCGACTGATGGTGGAGCGTGTCTGGCAACCGCGGGATATGACAATCAATCTGAGAGATAGCGGCGTTGACAGCTCGAGACAAGGTTGCAGCATTCGACTTAGCTGCCTTGAGGGTTGTTTTAACTTCTGTTTCTTCGGACTTGGTGTGCAGCGACCATAGAGGATTTGACAGGGCTGCTATTTGATGATATTGCTTGAGAGGATCGACGCTTCGAACAAACTGGTCGAGGTCAACTCCATACTGGGCGTCGATCTGGATGAAGCTCAAGTGAAGGAAACGATGCTTGTTCCTTGTATAGTCTTCGAGAATCTCTTCATCTGAAGGTGAGTTCCAATGATGGGGAACGCTTGTTGCTTGCTTTTTGGCTTGCTTCTGTTGCCTTTTTCTTTTCTTTTCTTTTGTTCTTGCCGTCTTCCGATAGAACTGTACTCTTTGAGGCTTGACTCGACGACGTAAGGCTTTGAGGATGAGGTAATAATGAGGTGGATTGCGCTTTCGAGTCTTTGGCTTACAACAGCGCCAAGGAAAGGCACATCCGAGAAGTTCTATTGCATTGAAGGGAGGAGTTGGCACTAGTGAAGGCAGATATGGCTGTCTGCGTGAACACTTGGTTCGATGACAAAGTCGCGACTGGAGGAGAGGATGGAGGAACGATGGAGGGCATTGCTGCATTTAAGATGAGGATGAAACTGGCGAGGACGAGCAGTTTCAAGAGGTGTAAAAAGTCAACTAGACTTAGAGAGGAGACCTCATCCATACCCCCTTGCAGCAAGGGCCACCACATGGTGACGGAAGGGTAGGACGGGATGACAGTAGAGAGGAAGACTACAATCATCCGTAGGAGTCAAGTGGCACGATTCACTTGATCGATGAGTTGATTCATGCCCGTGGCAATGGCAGAGACCTGCTGACGAATCTGAGGAAGGTTGGTGGCGGAAGTTGCAGCGGTCAAAGCAGAGGCATCACCAGAGGGGACTTGGTTGACGGGAGGAGCAGGAGCAGGAGCCGCAGCCGCTGGAGGAGCGGGAGCTGGAGCTGGAGCTGCAGGAGCCGGAGCTGGAGTTGGAGCGCCAGATAGGAGTGCATGAGGGCGGTTAGTCGTCTCGGACTGATCATCACAGAGCTTCCAGGATTTAGATTTAAAATGATAATAGTACCATTTCTTGTTGACTTTCGCTCGATTTTTCTTCCGATTAGATGGCACGGGAAGATGCTCAAATTGAACTCCGGCGCCAAGCCTGGAACGCCCTTTCTTGCCTGGATTCTTCTGGGCCTTCTTTTCGTCAAAGAATTTCCGCTTGTTCTGTGCGACGCGCTCTTTATTTATTGGTTCCGTGCAGGCAGTGACGGAATGCTTGCCACCACAGTTGAAACAGGGTCCCACTGTCTTTTGAGCCGAAAATGCAGTTTCCTGGACCTTGTGAAATTGGCCAGTCCATCCTTCTTTCGAGGCCATTCGATTCTGATAGATGCTCGTCGCGAGATCGAGTATCATATCAGGAGAACCATAAGCAGCGTCGCCTTGAGTAAGTGCCTGCTCGTATGCGTTGATTTCTTTATTGTGGAAAACCTCATTGAACTTGGGATCGCTCGATGTCTGGAACAACGAGATGAGAGTTTTGCCAATGTCATGAGGAACGTTCGAGGAGACCACTCTCCCATCGATACGTTTTTCAAGTGACTTGAGTCGAGTCAACATCACCTTAGTGTGACTAACCAAATCGTCCACGCTTTCTCCTTCATATTGATCAATGCGAAGCGTCTTGAGCTGGCTTTGAATCGTCTCCACGACGAGCTGAGAGTTGACTTGAAGGCGCTTCATCATGAAGAAGAAAACCAAGGGACCACCCATTCCTTGGGTATCCCGATAGGGAAGAAGGTCTTCGAGAACTTTGCCCCATAATTGTGGAGTCATATGATTGCACAGATAATCATAGGACAGGCTTAAGTTCTCGCGGAACCAAGGACTGGTGGTTGCGTCGGGCCACCTTGTGTACCACTTGCAGCTTTCTGCCACCTGGTCAGCGGTAAGTTCTGCGTATCGATCGAACAGAAACATGGTCTTGGTCACGCCAAGATTATCCGTCTCTAACTGTCCCGTTTGTTCACCGATCGCATTCTTGGAAGGAAATACAATAGTGAAAACGTCAAGGACGTCATAGCGCTTGAAGTGCATCTGCATGTTGGCCAGGCCGACGCCAAGATCATAACTTTCTTGAAGGTCTTGAACGCTTTGCATGGTCTGCGGTTGGAGATCAAACGAGGTATGTTGATGATTTGTAATGAGTTGGAAGAAGGCATGCTTCTTATCCGCGTCCAACGCTGACCTGTTTTCTTTCTTCATGGCAACAAGCGAGCCACCCACATCAGTTGCGGGGGCCGCCTGTGTCGTGATGGTCACACCACCGATTGTGACCTGGTTAGCCTGGTTGCGTGCTGGCATCGCGTCTTGCGGAGGGTTCCGAACTTGCGGAGGGTTCCGAACTTGCTGCGGGTTGGTGCTTGCTCGAGAGCCAGCCCTTGTTGCAGGCTGTTGGAGAGTTCCTTCAAGGTCTTCTGAGAGATCTCTCTGAAGTTGAGGTGTAGCTTCTGCCTGGCGATCCTCTGAGGTGATTTGAGGTGTAGAAGCGTTCCTCTTCTTCTTAGATCGCTTCTTCTTGGAAGGAGTCGCCGGTTCAGGCGTTGATGACATTCACTTTTGTTCTATCTACTCTGCGATACTTGGGCTCATAACCTGCGAGGATTGTCTGTAGAGGGACTTGAGGGACAGTCGAGGACACTAGACAATAGAGTTGTAATAGAGATAGAACTGCTATTCTTATTGATGATAGTTCATGAATGTGAGGATTGCTCTGAACTTGAGCAGAGGATCCAGCAGTAGATACACGTAGAGAGTAGTATATAGAATTCGGGAGAAGAACTGAGGCGTCAAATGATCGTGAGAATTACCCAATCAGAGTAAGCCACCGGTCCGATCTATTGGACTCACGGTGCGATTCGTTTGACCTCAACAGGTTCTATCTCTCCACAGCAATATGCCGAAGTTGCCAGAGATGTTTACAGACATGTTGCATACTTTCAGAAATTCAAACGTCAACTACAAATTATACTACAGTAACTCAGATGAATGATAGATTTAGGATTCATCCGATCAAGAGGTTTAAAAAATAATCTGCCCTATTCCTAATGCGACCGTGTTTCGTCTGGTCCGACAAAGTTTTGTTGGGTCCGACAAAGTGCCTGACAAAGTTCATCCATTTCAAGGGAACGTCCACAAATGAAATCAATCTCTACGCAGGCCCGTTTTCAGCAAAGCCCAAGCTCTGCATTGCGCAGAATCTGTCACCGGCATGTCAGTTTCCGTCATCCTTGCCAGGGAATCTATGACATATCTGAGGACATTCCCAGCAAGTATGCCATTTCAGGCTGCTCCAGATTCTAAGCACGTCTACACAACCAAGGTGTTGCTTACAAATCTCACTTTCCGGATCAAAAATAGATTTGAAATGGTCGTAACGACAAATAATGGACATAACAACCAACAGTTTTATTTTGAAAGTTGTGAATTTTGGAAATTTTGTCCTTTCATTTGTGTCTTTGTCTTTTCATCTGTGTCAACATCAACATGGGCCGTCTGGAAGGAAGTAATAACAAAAAGGCAACCATAAGGCTGGAGGCGACCGGAAGTCAAGGAAATTTCAAACTGCAAAGGAGGAGAAAGCTAAGACAAGCCATGAGTACTTCCTCTCACGGCGACATCAAAATGATCCATCCTCTGCAAAGTCACCACACCCTATGGAGGAAGCAACTGGTGGCAGAGATCCTTGACCACCCGTCAGTGCCAAAAGGAAAATTTGTCCCAAACCAAGGCACTGTTGATTTTACAAGTGGGAATGCTTGGGAAGTGAAATATGACGAGGATGATGACGGGTCTGCAAATGGAGTTGGGGACTACGGAATTGGTGCATCAAGTGATGAAGACAAATCATCAGCTTCATCAACAAGATATTGCCAGCTGTATACGCCAAGCCAAGGGACGCCTTTGTACAACTACTTAATGGAAGTACAAGGCAAGATTATTGATGACAAAAGCTGTCAACAACAAAAGTTCATCCATCCAAGAAATCACCAGTGGCATCTGGTCTGGGGAAATCTCCTAATCCAAGCAACTTCTACAAAGATGTTGTGGTTTGAGTATGGATACCAGATGCACAGTTCAAGGGCCTGCACTACAAATACAAGTGCCCAAGTTGCCAATCCATTCAATCAACACAAAACATCAGGGAAGTTGGCGCCCCGTAATTGCAAATGGGGATATCCATTGGGTCTTTTTTTATGTCAATGCTCAAATAAGGCTTGTAAGAATAAGACTTTTTTACAATCAGCCATATGGTGCCAATGGGGCGTCAGATTGGAGGTAACTGCAGTAAACTTGAAGAACAATATAGTGTCAATATAGAGAGCAGAGTTGAGCTTGGAAGTCTATGTAAAAGCGACTGTCCAGAAATAACTATGATGGCTGGTGGACTGAAGTTGAAGAGCTTGATGAAAGAATATTTACAGTCAACGTATCCTATGGACAAATCAAATGCTCAAACTACTAGTCACGCTAGAACATTGATAGACAAAGATATTCAATACTGTACTCTAGATGCTCTTGTGTCCCACAAGGTCGGTCATCTAGCTATGGAATCTCTGGCAAAGAAACCACTATGCGCCAAAGGTACACACACTGTAATAGATGTGGGAAGCGGGTGTACTGTTACCTTTTGCAATTGTGATATTGCAAAAGGAACAGTAGAACTTGTTGGAACAAGAGGGGAAGAAAGCCAATAGAATGGGAGAACCATTGGCCGCTGTGACTGTCTAGTTTTGGTGGAAAATGTAATGGATTAGAGCCATTCACCAAACCAACAGCATGAATCATGGCCAGATGATGCACTTACTCTGAAGGATTTGGCTAATATTATTGGGCCTCTAAAGTTGGTGGTTGGAACAAAACAGATCCGAGTGATTGATGGTGAAAAGGAGGATTGCAATTTGCTGCCATATACCTTTATGCATAAATTTGTCCAACATGATTTATTCATAAATTTGTCCAACATGATTAACAGTACTTCCAATTGCTTGTGGATATGGCAACAGTACATGATGTCAGCAATGATGACACCAAGGAGGAACAGGAGGAACAAGAAGAAAGTTTATATGATCGAGAAGGAGATGATGGTACCAAGCATGAAGGGTACCAAGGACTTACAAGATCACAGCATGACATCTTTCATCAGCTGCACAAGTTACCACTGAAAAAGAACTGGAAGCAACTGCATTTTTCTATCAAATGATACTTGCAGCAACCTGGATTAACAATCAAGAAGATTACTCCAACATTGTGACTGCACTTCAAAACAATCACAATGTTGAGGACATTGCAGCTCACAAGTTCTTCAATAGGGGATATTGGAGGCAGCGTGTGCGACAACTTACCCCAACCCCAGAAAACCATGCCGGCAATCTGGAGAAGGTGAAATGCTTTGTGTGGTCTGACAATTGCCTCAAGAATAGTTGAGCTTATGAAATGGTTTGAAAAATTCATACCGAGTTGAACGAATTGACCCTAACCCTAACTCTATGTTGCAGACTGGTACTGACCTCAATGAAACCCTGCATCAAAAGTATGCAGATCTTGTTGGTCTCTACTCAGTAGGAATGAAGAGCGCGGACCTTTTCTTTGTTCTTTGATCCTTTTGATCCAATATAAAAATTGGAATAGGAAGATGTGGTGAGCCAGATTTTGGAACAGATCAACATGACATCATCGACAAAACCCAACACTGGATCCTACATAGGTTTGGAATATTACCTTGGCCAACACACAAGAACTTACTGGACTTTTTGCCGCCAAGTGACTCAACAGTGGTTGGATTGCAACCGTTGAGATTTTATCCAAATCATGTGAGGTACTCAGAAACACCAGCAGCCAAACTCTCAAACGATCATTATTACCTCTCAAAAAAGCTTGTGCTTGCAATTATAGGGTCTTTTACAAAAAAGAAAGGGGTAGGGATAGGGATAGGTAAAATTCAAACACTTGCAGGTCATGATTCCAAACAGTCGCGGAAAACGAGTGGCCTAGGCCCCCCAATTTCTGCAACAGGTCAGATGTCACATATTGAATATCCGCACAACCAAAGAATGGCCAAACAGTCGCGCAACCAAAGAATGGCCAAACAGTGCGCAACCAAAGAATGGCCGAACAGTTGCGCAACCAAAGAATGGCCAAACAGTCGCGCAACCAAAGAATGGCCAAACAGTTGCGCAACCAAAGAATGGCAAAACAGTAGCGGAAAAGACCCCTCAATTTCTGCGGTTGCTGAAGACATGCAATCAACTTGATTCACTACTCTAACTCTTGGCCACCTAAAAAAATTTGAACATGCTAAGCAAAACAAAGAAAAATACACAGGATCCAGGGAGATGCATTTGTGAACTTAAAAATATTACTACTTTTTGTCATACTGCTATAATTGATCCACATTTACCATAGCATATGCTAACAGCCCAAGAATTCAACAATAACTAAATCCAGCTAATATCATGACAACTGACATGTTGCAGAATTTAGGGGGCATGGGCCACTCGTTTTCCGTGACTGTTTGGCCATTCTGACATCTGACATGTTGCAGAAACCATCAATTTCTACGACTGATTTGCCATTCTTAAACTCAAGATGTGACATCTGAGATGTTGCAGAATTTGGGGGGCATAGGCCACTCGTTTTCCGCGACTGTTTGGCCATTCTGACATCTGACGCGTCGCAGAAACCATCGATTTCCACGACTGATTCGCCATTATTAAACTCAAGATGTGACATCTGAGATGTCGCAGAATTTGGGGGGCCTAGGCCACTCGTTTTCCGCGACTGTTTGGCCATTCTGACATCTGACGCGTCGCAGAAACCATCGATTTCCCCGACTGATTCGCCATTCTTAAACTCAAGATGTGACATCTGAGATGTCGCAGAATTTGGGGGGCATAGGCCACTCGTTTTCCGCGACTGGTTGGCCATTCTGACATCTGACGTGTCGCAGAAACCATCGATTTCCACGACTGATTCGCCATTCTTAAACTCAAGATGTGACATCTGAGATGTCGCAGAATTTGGGGGGCATAGGCCACTCGTTTTCCGCGACTGGTTGGCCATTCTGACATCTGACATGTCGCAGAAACCATCGATTTCCACGACTGATTCGCCATTCTTAAACTCAAGATGTGACATCTGAGATGTCGCAGAATTTGGGGGGCATAGGCCACTCGTTTTCCGCGACTGGTTGGCCATTCTTTCTTTGCACAGATATTCAATATGCACTTACATCAGAATCTCTGCGTTTTATCATCATAATATTTTGCTTTGGTATATTCCATCCATCGTTACCATCCATCGCCATTGGAAAAAGCAAGAGCTCTAACTTTTGAATCATCAAATAGAATGAGATCCAGCAAGTACTGATTCGCCACATCTGACATGTCGCAGAATTTGGGGGGCATAGGCCACTCGTTTTCCGCGACTGGTTGGCTATTCTTTCCTTGCACAGATATTCAATATGCACTTGCATCAGAATCTGTGCGTTTTATCATCATAATATTTTGCTTTGGTATATTCCATCCATTGTTACCATCCATCGCCATTGGAAAAAGCAAGAGCTCTAACTTTTGAATCATCAAATAGAATGAGATCCAGCAAGTACTGATTCGGCACATCTGACATGTCGCAGAATTTGGGGGCATAGGCCACTCGTTTTCCGCGACTGGTTGGCCATTCTGACCTCTGACGTGTCGCAGAAACCATCGATTTCCACGACTGATTCGCCATTCTTAAATTCAAGATGTGAAATCTGAGATGTCGCAGAATTTTGGGGGCATAGGCCACTTGTTTTCCGCGACTGTTTGGCCATTCTGACATCTGACATGTCGCAGAAACCATCGATTTCCACGACTGATTCGCCATTCTTAAACTCAAGATGTGACATCTGAGATGTTGCAGAATTTGGGAGGCATAGGCCACTCGTTTTCCGCGACTGGTTGGCCATTCTTTCTTTGCACAGATATTCAATATGCACTTACATCAGAATCTCTGCGTTTTATAATCATAATATTTTGCTTTGGTATATTCCATCCATCGTTACCATCCATCGCCATTGGAAAAAGCAAGAGCTCTAACTTTTGAATCATCAAATAGAATGAGATCCAGCAAGTACTGATTAGCCACATCTGACATGTTGCAGAATTTGGGGGGCATAGGCCACTCGTTTTCCGCGACTGTTTGGCCATTCTGACATCTGACATGTCGCAGAAACCATCAAATTCCACGACTGATTCGCCATTCTTAAATTCAAGATGTGACATCTGACATGTCGCAGAATTTGGGGGGCATAGGCCACTCGTTTTCTGCGACTGGTTGGCCATTCTTTCTTTGCACAGATATTCAATATGCACTTACATCAGAATCTGTGCGTTTTATCATCGTAATATTTTGCTTTGGTATATTCCATCCATCGTTACCATCCATCGCCATTGGAAAAAGCAAGAGCTCTAACTTTTGAATCATCAAATAGAATGAGATCCAGCAAGTACTGATTCGCCACATCTGACATGTCGCAGAATTTGGGGGGCATAGGCCACTCGTTTTCCGCGACTGTTTGGCCATTCTGACATCTGACATGTCGCAGAAACCATCGATTTCCACGACTGATTCGCCATTCTTAAACTCAAGATGTGACATCTGAGATGTCGCAGAATTTGGGGGGCATAGGCCACTCGTTTTCCGCAACTGTTTGGCCATTCTGACATCTGACGTGTCGCAGAAACCATCGATTTCCACGACTGATTCGCCATTCTTAAACTCAAGATGTGACATCTGAGATGTCGCAGAATTTGGGGGGCATAGGCCACTCGTTTTCTGCGACTGGTTGGCCATTCTGACATCTGACGTGTCGCAGAAACCATCGATTTCCACGACTGATTCGCCATTCTTAAACTCAAGATGTGACATCTGAGATGTCGCAGAATTTGGGGGGCATAGGCCACT